CCCCCCCCAAAGCTAAATTAAATTGCACTTTGATATATAACATCAACAGAAGGATACATGCACCAATCAAATGAACCACTAATAGAAGCAGCAGGAAATCATTGGCTAGCAAAACCTCCAGAAAGGGCATGGGAATTAAAAGAGTCCTCTACCAAAAAAGAAATAAAAAATTCTAGAAATTTAATGTACAAAACTTAATCTCATTACCAATATCAGATCAAGCATCACGGTTGTAACAACATACAATGTAATGAAAACTTCCACACACAAAAAAACATAAATCATTACAAGACAAAGAAAAGCTTACTTAGTTATGTGGAGGTCCCAAACATTTAGAGCTGACACATCTCTGCAAACACCGTCTTCCAAGTCGATGCCAACTCTGGTATTTCCTGATGCATGCTCAGCATAGAGGGAGGATATGATCTCCATTGCATTACGCCCAGCATTCTCAGCGAGAGTTTTAGGCACCATCTCAAAACTTTCGGCAAATTTTGCTATAGCATACTGATCCAATCTGCAAAACCATTCTTTCTTTAGTATGTTATTTCACTAATGCCCAATTGAGACCTATGACTGGACACACAAAAAAAATTAAAAATTTACGTTCCGATAGTTGGTGTAGGCCCCCAGATTCTACTTTATGCTTTCAGGTACAACATTACATGCATATTATAAAATCCAATAATTCAGATCAATATCAAAGAACACTAAATGATTCAAATCAAAGTACGTTACAATTACCTATCTCAACCACACCTTTTTTGGACAAGAACATCCATGATATATCCGTTTCTTTCTTTTGTTCTTCTTTCTAGTGCTAGGAAATTGCTCATGTGTTACCTAAGTTTGATCATTTAAAACTGTAAAACAGGTGTCCCTCTCTAGTTGGGTTCTAATACCCATGCTGCTTCTTTAAGGCATTTTCTAGGAAATTTATTCGGATACCATTTCAATTTTTTATACATCTTGTACACTTCAATTTACCCCATACCACAATTTCAATAAAATTCCTTATCTGATATGTATTCCTTATACTCCACAGAATCTTGCATAGCAATTTCTACCTCCTTTGAGGATATATCTTTGTTATTGTTGATAATTTCTGTGTGACTGTACCTTAAAGTTTTCATAGAATCAAGCAAAATATCTAATAGTGGTCAAAGTTAGGCAT